TGGGCCGAACGTTCGAACGGATCGAGAGGTGATCCCGAACGCTCAGGCGTTCGGCCCATCCCGAATGCCGACAACCCTGTACAAGACAATAATTAATTTCACGGCCACACTCGGTTTCAATCTCCTACAGCAAGAAATAAATAACCAAAAACAAATACGGAAAAAAGTTCAATTTCTTTCTACTTCTAACTTCTGCTCTGTTCTATGTGTGATGACGTCCTAAGAGTGCACAGGTACCGCAGCCACGGCCAATGTGATCAAGACACAACAACACAGGTGAGTATGCACCGCGACCACAGAACAGCCAAGACAAGTGAGTAAAGTCAGCCAACACAACAAACAATAATCAATATGTTAGCATCCTTTCCTCTTCGGCTGCACCTTCTGCAAATACAAATGCGGCCAGACACAAGGGCGGACGCTTGGCACTACGGCCAATTGTGATGCTGTACCACCCGTCAGCACACGAGAGCAAGTATCAACTTCTCACCAGCGGCAATGCTCAGCCCCTGCCACGTGTCACCCTGTCATGCCAACGCAGCACCTCCACAGAGTTGCCACGTCAGCAACAATGGCCAATAAGCCTCCAAGAAGGGTGCCACATCAGCAAGGACCGGCTTCCAGATCATCCAACACCGGTATGCCATGTCAGATCGAAAGTACCGCTGGCATGTGGAGCGCCACGTCAGCAGGTAAGGGACTGTTGGCTTGTGACGCAGGGCAGTAACTTGGATGCGTGAAATACAGGGTAGGTGTGGAGGTGCAATGGTATCTCCATCGTGTAGGACGGTCCGTCTTCTCCGCCCTTGACTTCTAGAACTGGCCACGGTCCTCTATAGGCAGGCAGCAACTTCTGCAAGATGTGCTCCTCAGGTGCAAACTCTTTAGACTTGACCCAGACTAAGTCGCCTATCTGAAACTGCGATGGGCGACGGTGCTTATTGGCCTGTTCTATTATTCTTGTTTGTGGTAGGACCAGCCAGATTGCTCTGCAGGGGGTGTAGTGCTTGCGAGTGGTGATCGACATACTGTTCCTGATGGACGAGCCAGACTGTGTGATCCTCCTCCATTTGGTGATAGAAAGAATTAACATTCCTGTTGTGTGCACCCTGCCGCCGTTGTCCCATAGGGTCCATGAGTTATCTGCAAAGGTAAAAGCACTAAATATTCGGGCATATATCTTATATTGTCCAGGTCATTTTAGTGCTTTTACCTTTGCAGATAACTCATGGACCCTATGGGACAACGGCGGCAGGGTGCACACAA